AAATCATTTATCGCGAAGAGTAAGTTTAAAATGAAAATTTTAATAATCTTTTATGACATAATTTTCGCTCAATTTCCGTTTCATTACTGTATCAATCAAATTTCTTCATAATAAAATTTTCAAAGAATCCGAAAGAAGAAAAAGTCTGCCATAACTATTTCGTACTTTGATTCGAATCTCATGGATACATCGAGAGATGTGAGCTTGAAAGACTTAGCATCCTCGATAAGATATTCTGTATACTGAAAAAAAATACTAAATTTTAATCATTTATTTAAACAGTACTAATTAAATATAATATTTATATGTAGATATAAAGATATATTTGTTTGATACGAGAACCATTAATTTAATTTAACAATCATTTTTTTATTCAGTGAATATTTATTTCTAAAATCTTATTTTTATTACGTAAGAATTTATTATTTAAGAAAAAATTAATTGTTAACTTATAATTATTGATTCTGAAAAAGTATAAGTTTTAACCATTACACATTTTTTGTAATTCTTGTAATTGTCTTCGGAGATGTATAGTTCGCAATTTATTTAACGCTATTCTTTTTTCAAATGTTTGTACCAAAGGCTTTGTAATGATATCTGTTATATGAACCAACGCACGTGTCCTGACTGCAAATAAAAATTATCTGAATTTGGATTTTTTAAATCTATGTTTATTCTAAATACTAAATACTATTATTTAAATTGTATTTTTAATTTATAAATATATATATATACATACCAGCATCATTATGAATACTGGCGAGGATATCTGGATGATCTTTACAGGCTTCAGCCATATCTTCTTCTTCTTGTACCAAAATTTTTGATAAGTCTGTCATTGTCTGCAACATTATTTAATTTCAGATAGAGTTCTCTTCGCTTTAAATTTTTTTACAATGCAAAACAAAAAATTAAAATTTCTTACTCTTAAACATCTGTCTGAAATATCTGGAGTATGTACTATTTCTAATGGTATTTCTGTAGCTTCACCATTATCAGATTGAAAACAATTTAAGAAGATTTCATGTTCCTTTAAAGTAAAAAAAAAACATTATTACAACATTTATTAATCTGTATATTATAATTTATCTATATAAATAACTTTAAATTATTTCATAGAATATTTATCACATAAGTTAATGCACTAAAAGTTTTATATTCACTATTGACACTATTAATTTACTACTAGATAAAATTAAAGATTTTGTTTTTTAATCACATAAAAGCTACATCAATAGTTGTGAATTTTTATTGATAAAGAAATTAAGATAAGGAAAATATATGTACTTTTGATTCTTTGCCTTCTGAAAATACTGAAAATATTAAGCCTACAAAACTGTGATCCATTGTTTGATAAGTAGCTTGAGTTCTGACATCTGCAAAACAAAAATAATTTTAAATGCAAATTATATTATTTAAACATTTGGCAAACAAAGTATTTATAATACACACCAACATGTGATGGACAAACTGTAATATGTGGATGCGAATGATACCAGCCAAGGACGCGCATAGGTCGATTTAATTCTACAGTTAATCGTTCAGCTTCAGCAGCAGCTTTCAATAATTGTTCTGACGATATCTCTACTCTGTCTTTCTTCTTATCTAGACGTCGCAAAATAATAACAGCTGATATTTTTGCTACTCCACACTCAAACTAAAAGGGGGATAATTAATGCTTTGATTGTCTCATTAATTGTATAGGAAATAACAAAGAAATATCATGAATGTAAGATGTTCTAAGTTTCACGTACATTACCGATAAGTAAGCCCATTACTTCAAAGTTCTCTGTAGATAAAGCATGCTGCAAACATACCATGTAGACATCTGTTTGCAGCTCTACTTTTTGCAATGGAGAGTCGTCCATTATTTATGAAGATATTAATCTTTTGGAAATAAAATACATAAATGTGAATAAATTCATAATTGCTTTTACAATCGCATTTGAGATATTACAAGTAACGCTCTAGTTGCTTAGATTTCTAGAACAAAAATATAGTCAGTGTAGGCCTGTTATTCATAGCTGAATTTCTGCTTTAGTCAAAATTTGAAACTATTTTCTGAGAATGAACTGAACTGTCATGTATGAGTGTTTTGTTACAAGAGAACTGCTTCTTAGACAGAAAGGTTTTTGTCTCTCCCAGACTCCTTTTAATAAGACAATTAAATACGGATGAGATGACGTGATAGTATAGTAATTTATGCATAACCTACATCAGTTTTGACGCCCACGTATCGTCGATTTATCCAATGTTAAATTAGGTGTACATGTAGTCTGACTCTTCGAATAACGTTTTTCATGCGGACTGAATGTCATTACTTGAGATACATCTAATCTAGTGCGTTACTTGCATGATCTTTCAAATGTTGTTTTTTATTCAGCAAACAATACCGACGGACTACAAACTGACGAGTTTGGAGTCCAGATAAACAGCGTGAACTCGACAATCTGTCAAGGTGTGTTGCATCTAAAAGCCAGACTGAGCCAAACAGTCGATTAACGAGCGAGTTGACAAATTTCTCTCTTGTCAAAAGTCGAGAGAGAAAGAGATTCCCCGCATTCCTCACTCCCTCGGTCCAACTTGCAACGATCTTCCCCAATCTTTCTCTTTGTCTGGCTTCGTCCACCGTCCACCTCGCTAGTCTCGCTATACGCTCGTCTCCTCGCAATCGACGCAACGGGCATCGGGGCCGACACGACGGAGCGTTGTGTGAATCGGGATTGATCAGCGATTATAATACGAATTTACGAACGAGCGATATTTCGCTAAAGTGAGCATCACGACATTCAAGAGTGCTAAAGGAGAATCCCTAAATCTCATGGGATCGTATTACATAAAGTCAAATCTCTGTCGCCGTATGTTACATCGATAAGTACCAAAGTATCAGCTGGCGGAGATCAATTCTAGTCAATTTTGTGTGATTTGTCTATGCCGATTTATGTCATTTACATTTAACAGGCTCGTGCAACGTAATTATATCACGGCGCACGCCGGATATAATACGGATTTTAGCGCGCGAGAACGGAATATTTAGCGCGTGCCAACGTCAACGTCTATCAGCCTGTGTGTGTGTACTACATGCATACATACTTACACACATACGTGCAACGTATATATCAATATATTTGGCGCAGTGCGCACACATACACATACACATGCCATGCATGCACGCACATACACTTCTTGATTGCTCGCACAATCCCACTTTTACTCACTTTGGAGTTTAATCAGAGGTGGTGTGATGCGCGTACAGTGACGCTCGAAGATGCTCATAAACAGTTTTTTGTCATCGTGCGGTAGGGTAAGTCGACAGATTTTGAGGTTATGTGTTGTTACAGAGTAACTAGTAGTCTAAATCAATGATAATTTGCAAACTCATGAATTACATTATCTTTAACAGCGTGACGCGATTAACACCGGTAACACTGAGGAACTTATCGCGTCATGGTAGATAATCGAACACCCATTAACTCGGAGAATAAGTATTATATGGTAAATGCGGATCAGGACAATCCAAGGGAAACACAAGCGAAAGAAACGATGCCTTCGGAGCTGAGGTCGATCAGCGTGGCTGACTGGATCACAGTCACGATCCTCTGTTTCGTAAATCTCATAAATTATATGGACCGCTTCACGATTGCTGGTGAGTGCTTGCTTTGTTTTAGGAACAATTGTTGAATTAATAGATTTTTGAGAAATCTTCTACAATTTATAAAATGATTTCCTGGATAGAGAATCATCATCATTTCTCTTGATTTATACAACATACTTAATATTTTATTTCAGGATTATTGACATACATCAAGCATGACTTTGATATCGGTAACGATAAGTCTGGGCTATTGCAAACAGCATTCATTTTGAGCTACATGGTGTTTGCGCCATTATTTGGATATTTAGGAGATCGTTATAATAGAAAATTTATTATGAGTGGAGGTGTATTTTTATGGTGCCTAACAACATTTATTGGTTCTTATATGAAAGTAAGTTATATTTAGAGTCTTTTTATTCTTGTTCAGCTCTCCGAGCTGAAATTTCTTTCTTGCTTTTGCCAAATATCAAGCATATACCTATTTTGCTTTAAATTCTAAAAGTGTACATAAGTTCAATTACAGATAACATCTTTTTTTTTTTAATATTGAATGAACTCTAGGACTTCTTTCAACAACTTCTGTTAAATTAATCTATCATCAAAAGTATTTTAAATTAATCTAATATCAACAGCAGTTTAATGTATCAGAATGTCTTATTTTTTTCTTTTCTGAGACAAATTGTGTTCTCAAGTTGACAATGGTGATGATTGAGTTAGTATCACTCAGAATTGGTGAAAGATGTTATACTCAAAATAAATTTATAATCAAATATAAGAATCTTAAATTTATTAAAATTATATGTGTTATTACATCTTTCTAATAATATCAGGTTGTATCCAATGAAGAGATTCATTAACACATCTAATTTTATCATATGCAAGAAATATATCATATGAAATATAAATTTGATGTGTAATATTTTTAATTTATTTCAGACCTATGGATGGTTCCTATTCTTTAGGACACTTGTCGGCATAGGAGAAGCTAGTTATTCTACAATCGCGCCAACAATTATTAGTGATTTATTTATAAAAGATGTACGTTCTAAAATGCTCGCCCTATTTTACTTTGCTATTCCAGTTGGAAGGTACATCGATTATGATCTGCATGATTAAAATATATATGTTGCTTATATGTACAGTGAGAGCAAAAAGTATTCGCACAAGGAAATTCTTTATTAAAAAAGTTTTATTTATAGAAAATAAATATTAATTAGCAATTTTATATAATGAATACATTTTGTTCTTACTTTAACAAGTGAGCTTCGCATATATTTTTTATTTTAGAAGCTAAATTTTTTGACGAATACTTTTGAGCATTCAAACCGTATAATTTTTAATTTTCGCTTATTTTTCAGATGATATAATTTCTATAATTAATATACATCTTTTTGGCATATATAAATTTAAGAAACATATTTATTTTATTCTTTATGAATAAGTTGTTAATTATCCAGCAAAAAATGAGCGTCAATTAAACATCGAATCGACGTCAAAGTGGTGTTGAAATTATCGAATTGATATTGATTCAATGACTCGATTCGATGACTTATTTCTCGCTGGATAATATTTACTTTTTAAAAATAAAGTTTTTTTAAAGAATATTTTCTCTGTACGAATACTTTTTGCACTCACTGTATATATTATTTTAGTGGTTTAGGATATATTACTGGAGGTGAAACAGCTCGTATTACTGGTCAATGGCAATGGGGGTTGCGTATTACTCCAGTATTAGGAATTGTAGCGATTCTTCTGTTACTTTTTGTAGTAAGAGATCCTATCAGAGGTGAACGTGAAGGAGGTATTCATTTGACAAGTACCACATGGTCATACGATATCAAGCAGTTATTAAAGAAGTAATTATATCAGCAATATTATATTTTTTTCATTAAAGTTGTATTATTATATGAGATTTATTTTTTTTATTAATACTTTTATTGATATTTGTTTGTCAATGATGATCTATGTCATCTACTAATTGTCCAAATAAAATAGAACACAACTCTGTATACTATAACAGATAGTTTTTAACTATCTGTCAGGATAGACGAGACTGAGATCATGATAATATTAGAATATGTATTTAAAAATATAATAGAGTTATCTAATTTGTTTCTTTTATTATACGATATATAATTTAATGAATTTGATTAAATTTTAATTATTTTTTTCACCAAATTATTTAATTGTAAATAAAGACCGAGTAATAGCGCCACTATCACAGTATATAATGATATTTAAAAAGTGAGAATTAATAGAGATTGATTTTAAAATGCAATGACAAATAATCAAATTCAATTCACTACATTACTTTTTCTAATAATTTCTTATAATTTGCAAGTAATACTATATTTCTTATATTATTGATATAATTTTCAGTTCAAGTTTTATGCTGTCTACTGCAGGATTTACTTGTGTAGCGTTTGTCACTGGTGCACTGGCGTGGTGGGCGCCAACATATCTACAATTAGGTTTCCAATTACTTCCTTATGGAGCAAATGTTGATCCAGAAGAGTATGTTTTTTTTTTAAATATTATATATATGTTTATTTTATTACAAAAATGTATATTAATTATATAATTGTATTTATGTGTGTTATAATGTTTTAGTGTTGCATATAAATTTGGCTTAATTGGTATGGCATCTGGTCTAATAGGTGTACCTTTAGGCTCTGCTATAGCACAAAAATTACGAACTTACTGGCAACAAGCCGATCCTCTGATATGTGCCGTAGGCCTTTTAATAAGTGCTCCTCTATTATTCTTCGCTATGATTACTGCCAATACAAATTCTACTCTTTGTTATATATTAATATTTTTTGGTCAATTATCATTAAATTTGAATTGGGCTATTGTAGCAGACATGTTACTGGTAAGGAACAATATTAAAAAATATTTTTTTTATAATTATATTTTAATAAATTTAATTATCTTTTATTATATTGTAGTATGTAGTAATTCCCACAAGAAGGTCCACAGCAGAGGCATTCCAAATACTCATTGCACATGCTTTTGGAGATGCAGGCAGTCCTTATCTTATTGGACTTGTATGTAAAAATAAACTCATTATACTAATATTACAAAATATTAATTATTAATCGTTTTTAGATATCAGAAGGATTAAAGTCTATATTCTTGTCGGATGTAGGAAGACAATCTGCTATTTATGATAGTCAAAATATAAGCGTAGAATTCCATAGTCTACAATATGCAATGTTTCTTACAATGTTTGTAGAAGTATTCGGTGCTTTATTCTTCTTCCTGACTGCATTGCATATACAGAAAGACAAGGCATTAGTTGAGCTTGCTATTGCGGGTAAGTAAAAAAATATATCTGTTATTAGTTGAGGTAAAAATCGTTTAGCGTTAGGTAA